ATTTACACTGTATTAGGTATTTTAAATAATCTGCAGAAGATTCAGAGTATATAGGAGGATATGTATATGCTATATGCAAATACTATGTCATTTTATAAAAAGGATTTGAATATCTGCAGGGAGCCTATATGAATCCCTTAAAGACCCAAGGGCAATGGAACTGCATTATGCCACTTTCATATGGAACCTAAGAGTCCAATTCACTAAAAAAAAAAAAGTACAATGATGGTTAGCAGAAGATAAAGTAGGGGGAAAATGAGATGTTGGTCAAAATTATAAACTTCCAGCTACAAGATAAGTAATTTCTGAAGACCCAATGTGCAACGTGGTGACTAAAGATAACAATTTACTACATACAGTACTTGAAATTTGCTGAAAGAATATATTTTAATGCTTTTATCTCACACACAAAAAGAATAACTATGTGAAATGATGTTAATTAAGTGTCTGTAGTAATCACTTCATAATGTGTGCATAATTATGTATAAATGAATATTTTACATACAATTTGTATCTATTGATCAAATGGGGGATAAAACCTAAACTGTCCTATATCTATTAAGTCAAATGAATTTTCCCATAACCCTCCACCCCCCAAAAAAATAACAATTACTCTAGGCAAATGGCTTCATGATGAGTTCTACTTAACATGTAAAAACAAGTTAATACCAAATTTATTTCAACTCTTCCAGGAAAATCAAACAGCAAGAAATAGTCCAAATTCATTCTTTGAGGTCACAACCACTGAGAACAAAACTTAGAAAGCACAAGGAAAAATATATAGATCAAATCCATCACTGACAAAGATGACAAAGTTTTTAAAATCTTACAAAAGGATTTCCATAAGATATTAAAAGAATAATATCTCCTCACCAAATGGGGTTTACCTTAGGAATTCAAGATCACTTTAACATTCAAAAAAAATCAATGAATGATGTTCACTACATTAAGGTTTTTTCAGTATGATTATCTCAATCAGCAGTTAACAGAAAAAGTAACTGAGAAAATGCATTAACCACTACTCATTTACAAAAAAAAAAAAAAAGGAAGACCTCAGCAACATACTAATAAAATGAAGATTTCCTAAACCTGAAAAGGGTTTCTACAAAGAATATACAATCAATATCATGCCAAATACTTACTATGAAAAACTGAACACCTCTCCCCAAGATAAGGAAAAAGGAAAAATGTCTGCTCGTGACATCTACAGAAAGCAAAGGTCCCAGCCAATGCCATATGGCAAGGAAAACAAAAAAAAGAGAGAAGGCATTCCCCTGTGAGAATAGAAGTAAAGCTGTCTTCCAATTCAAAAATGGGCATCTGAAATGGACAGACAATTCTCAAAGAAGTAAAAGCAGCAAGTAAATATATGAAAAATGTTCCACATCACTGGTCATTCGAGAGATGCAGATGAAAACAACACTGAGATTCCGCCTCACCCCACAAAGAATGCCTGCTATCAAGAAATCACACAATAAATGTTGGCGGGTTGTGGGGAGAAAGGAACCCTTCTCCATTGTTGGTGGGAGTGCAGACAGGTGCAACCACTATGGAAATCAATATGGAGATACCTCAAAGAGCTGGGACTAGAGGTTCCATTTGACCCAGCCATCGCTCTGCTGGGTATCTTTCCAAAAGAATTAAAAGAATCATATCACAGTGACATATGCACACCTATGTTTATAGCAGCACAGTTTGTAACAGCGAAAATTTGGAAACAGCCCATTTTCCCATCAGTTGGAAACTGGATAAAGATGTGATTTTTCTATAAAATGGAATACTACTTAGCCATAAAGAATGAGAAATTAGAGTCATTCATAGGAAAATGGATACATATTGAGGATATACTCCTAAGTGAAATACATAAGTCACACATGTGTAAACACCGAATGATTTCTCTGGTGTGAAAAACTATAATAGTATTCAAGATCCTAATGGGATAATTAACAATATGAAAAAGGAAGAAAAGGGCTAAAGGTATAGGGAAAGTGGAAAGTGTTAGGGAAGGGGAATAAGGGAAAAGAAAAAAATGTGAGAAAATGAAAAATTGGAACTAAAGTATTTGTAAATGGGGAGGGGAGGAGGGGGTGAAGAGAGGGCAGGGACAAGGGGAAAAATGAGAACCAAGACCTGTCATGTAAACGTACAAGATCCTAGTAATGAATGTAACTATACTGTATACCTAGAATGTACCAATAAACTCAATTAAAAAAAAAAGAAGTAAAGCTGTCTTTATTTACAGGCATGATCATCTAGATAGGAAATCTGAGGATATGTATATGCTATATACATCTACCAAAAAAGCTATTAAAACTAATATGGAGTTTAGCAAGAATGCAAGATCCATAACTGATACACAAATAACAATTGAAAATTAAAATTTTAAAAGGCAATATCATTCACAGCAGCATCAAAAAATATAAAGAATCTACAGAGAATGTGATAAAGATGTCTTCTGATACCGGGCTTCTGAAAGTTATGAAACTTTGTCAGAAGAAATTAAGGAAGACTTAAAGAAGTGTGGTCATACACTATTTCGCTGGTCAGAAGACTCAGTATTTAAGAACTCAGTTTTCCCTCAAATTAGAATATAGATTCAATGAAATACCAAATAAATTCTAAGTTTGCTTCTATTTTGAAATGGACAAACTTATTCTAAAATCAAAATAAACAAGACCTAGAAGTGACTGATTTTTTTAACAGAACAAAGTTAAAGGACTTATTGAATGATTTCCTACTACAAATCTATCAAGATTATGTGGTATTGGCAATAAAATAGATAAAGAGATCAATGGAACAAAATACAATTTACAGAAATGGACCGTGTGTATTAAATTTATATTTTAATGAAAGTGAGAAGGCAAGTGAAGGGAAAAGCAGGCTTTTCAGCAGAGTGATGGGCCATATATTTAATGGGAAATTAAAAACAAAACCTCCTCAACAAAAAGAAGAAAATATCTTATACTTCAAGTTAGACAAAGGTTTCTTATGTACAACATAAGTATGATCCATAAAAAAAATCAGACTGACAAAACTGACCTCACCAAAAATACAAATTAATAAATTAGACCTCATTCAAAGTAAGAACCCAGCTTTCAAAGAACAGTGTTATGATGATGAAAAATAACATCAAAACAGGAAAAATTGTAAATTATATTCACATTAAAGAATTTTAAAATGAGAATACATAAAGAACTTTAAATGCTCAATAAAAAGAAAACAGCTCATTTTTTATGGACAAAGGTTTAATATAAACTTAATCCAAGAAAATATGTAGAGAGGGATTATCACAGGGCACAAGAAATCATTGGGAGTATTACTTATGTTCTTCATCTTGATTGTAACGATGGCTTCATTGATGTACACCTATGACAAAACTTTTTGAATTTGACACTTAAATGTGTACTTAACTACATGTCAGTCCATAGTAAAGCTGTTACAAAATATTCTAGTTAAGACTGTCTCTTGTCTTCCTGCGGGTACCTGTGTGCTACATTTCTTCTTCATCCTCCACATTTAATTAGTAATTAATGCCTAGCCATTCTAATTTCCCAATCTCTTCCCATCCCCATAACTATTACCCTAACTCAGTAGTGGCACACTTATGTGCTGCAGGGGACTATCTGTACCACTGAAAGCTCTAAAAAGTTCGCAATCACTGCCCTACCCTGTCTCTCACCTGTATGACTATAGTGTACCTCTCTCTAGTCTTCACCAGTCCACTTCGTTCTCCACTGTGCAGCCAGAATTGACTATGTGTGTCACTGGCTGCCCAGGAGATATAATTCAAGCTCCCTTAAAATGATGCACCAGACCCTTCCTGATCTGGCCCATTCACACTCCCTAGCCACCTATTTCTGATTCCCCTACAGCCATACTGATCAAACTTGTGCTATGCTGAATGAAAGCTTGAAGACGAGTCTTCCTCATCTGTACTACCCCAGAGCATAACACAAAGCAGGGCGCAGAGTATGTGCCACAGGATGAATGAACAAATTCATAAAGAAGTGGTCAGAGTGACCTCCTCTGACTCCACATGGGTTGACTCTGGGTTCTTCCATTATAAAAAGTAAGCAGGTGAGAGGTTAAGTCATCTCTATGGTGCATTCTAGCAAGATTATCATTTCAAATCCCCTTGTGCATGGAGGGTTACAACTCTGGCTGGGACTTTAAGGGTAGGGCTCAGATTGTTTAAAAAGCCAGCTGGTAACTGACTGATTTGAACTAAATAAAAGGTTAGAGAAAGGGAACCAAATTCCAGGGAAAGACAAAGCCCACAGAAAATGCTAATACATCCTGGCTGAAGGCCTGTTCTCCTCCCAGTACATTTCTTAATTTATCCAGAAAGGCACAGCCACCCTCTGGGATGTTCTTTTTTCCCAGCACATGTTTTGACTTCCTAGTCAAGCCAGGGAGGCTCCAAAGAACTTTCCCCCAGAGAATGAATCTCAGGCCCTTCTCGGTTTCGGTTCTTTCCCACAAAACATCCTTAATAACAGTCCTTATCACAGGCCCTTCCCAGGGCCAGGCCAGTGTCCCTGAGGTCAAGAACCAGCCTGAGGCCACTAAACCGGAGACTCCCATATAGTAATGCAGGAGTCAACTGACTGGAAAACCAGGAGAACTGGTAACTTGCAAGAAAAAAACCAGGAGAGACACTTGGTAGGCCACAGAAAAGAGGAGAAAAGCAAGCAAAAACCAAGCAAAGCAAAAGCTACCGCAAATTGAACTTTCCTTCCTTCTTGGAATTGAAAAGCACAATCCAGTCCACCGTTCTGAAATCACACTTGAAAACTTCGTCTAAGGGTGAGTGCTCTTCCGGGTCCCGATCAACCCTTTACTCTAGGGAAGAAACTGGTTTTAAGATAACAAGTGCTTTGGTGGAAAAGAGCCAAAGACTGGGAAATTCACCACTGTGCATCTCCTTGATCTTTTAAGTAGAAGGCCAATTAATAAAAATGTAAAGACTCTCAGCCTTTCATCGGTGACCACACGCTCACCCCATCTAAACAGCACCGGGAGGCCACAAATGGCCCTGGCCTCAAAAGCCAGAGAGCTGCGACGCACGGACAGCAGAGGAGCCTGCGGGCGGGCCCGCACCGGGTCGGGAGGCGCAGGGAAGCGTGGGGAACGCAGG